CGGATGGGGAAATTCGGAGTAGAGTTAGTAATCGGCCTTGCCATAGTGGTTGTTCTTCGAGGGTTGCACTGCGCCGTGAAATACAAAAGTCTATATTTCTTTTCAGGCTAGCCAGCAAAGGTTTCTGAATTTACAAGAGCACCACAGTAAAGAGCTGCTTGACAAACATGGCTGTCGTGTTCAAAACTTTATTGTGGCAACTTCTCAACATGAAGCTGATCAGAAATCGAAAGCCCGCGGTTCGTTTCTGGCCAGAACGATAACTTCATGACATCCGAGGACCTTTTTTTTCTAATTAACCAGCTTTCATTTTTAGGCATCCAAGGCCCGATCGAATATGTGGTAAAGTCACAAATCCTCGCCGGTGGCCGTGGAAAAGGACGGTTCATCAATGGAAAAGAAGGACTGGGTGGTGTTTTTGTAACTAGGGAGTGAGTATTTATGAATTTATGATATGTATAGTTCTTTTCTCGATTCACTGTTTTCATTGTTCATACGGGTCTGATAGTGGATACGGTATCGGTTACTTGCTATGTACTGTTCATTTCTTGACTACCCTTCTGCAGCTCAACCCGTCTATAATGAGCTCTTTCTTCTCCTTCTTTCTTCTTCCCTCTTCGTTAATTGCTATGGACCATTTTCAGTCGTTGATAGACGTTGAAAGTTTTTTACTCGTGCACCATACGCCTAGAGCGATACTTCGTCTTTCACGAACATTCATACTCAACTCTCTATCCAACTTATAGACACTTTTTTTCGGCACTCTTGACCCTTTTGAACGGAACCGTGAAATTTCCCTTTTAATTCTACGCATTTCAGTACACACCTACCTTCCTTAGACTTTTGAACTTACCTTGTTGAGCTTTATCTTCTTGTTTTTTCGGGCCTCGAAATTATTTTTGATCAAAATTGTAAATCACTTATTCTACCTCCTCTTCCTTAGACACATGCCCTGTCATGCCACTTTTTGGCTCCGTCCCCATCGGTATACATCTCGCCAATCATAGATCATTTGGTTCCTATTCATGGCTGTTTTAATGCATTTTTGGTTTTTGGCATTCAATCGTATTCTACTCTTTTACGATCATGTTTTCGGTTCCATATTTCAAGCGATTAGCAACAAATAGCATGAGTTTCCTATGTGGACCTCCATATCACCTTAAACACCTTTTTTTAATGCTGCGGAGTGAAGGGACTTCGATTCCTATAAGGTTTGGTGTTTATCAGAGAAAACGTTAGCGGCAGTTTTCTTGAGACGTAATTGTAGAGGTATACGCCGAGTTGGGTATTCCTTTACTTCACCGCCTCTACATCATTGAATGCTTAATCTGCTCGCATCTTGCGTCTAGATGGTTGGCATAAGGTTACAGAGAAGTCGAACTTCTAAAGTGATAGAGACGACAGCGACTTGGGCGCTTAAGTTGTCCACAGGTTTCCTTCATTTCAACAAATTTTCATCTCTCCTGGTTGATCGATCCGATCTGTTCAATTTCTCGAGAGGTATCTCCTTGAATTCCTCGCGCCTTTTTGGTATGATCCTTGAAAAGCTCAAGTAGTCGCTCATTTTCTTCCTCCTGTCTGTTGGCTCGGATATGTCTCTCTGCGGAACTGCTAGGAGAGCGGTGAGATCCTGACTTTCCTCGTCTGGTACAAGAACTATAATGAGCATGCGCTGCCCTATATTTCGATCCCAGTGAATATCACACCCTCGATGACATAGTACAGTTTGCACTTTTGTGTATATATTTACTGGCTCCAACGAACAATATTCCAGCCGAAAGCAAGCATTGGACGCAGTGGCTGAAATGGTTGGCAAACACTTAGTTACAAAGCAGACTCCCAAAGAAGGCGTCCTAGTCAAAAAGGTAGCATCGTTTAGATCAGTCTTGTACATGGTTTTACCAGGGTCTATGAGTGGTTCTAATGCTCAAAGGTTCAAAAACTGTGGAAAAAAGGAAGAATTGTGCTTATTCGATAGTGAATTAGCATATTCAGGTGATGGTTGCTAAAGGAGTGTCAATAAAACGCGAAACGTATTTGGCAGTGCTTATGGATAGAGCATCGAATGGTCCAGTAATTGTTGCATCTCCGGCTGGCGGAATGGATATCGAGGAGGTGGCCGAAAAAACACCACATTTGATATTCAAAGTGAGTTGAGTTGAAATCAAACATGGATGCTTGAAGATTTGATACAACCCCGGTATCAGTATTTTGTATAGTATAATCTATTGTGTAAGCCATGAACTTGACGCAACAGCAAGAATAGTTACACTTTTGGTTCTTTCTTTAGGAGCCTGTCAATATCGCAACTGGCATAACTGATGAACAAGCCACTAGAATCGCAAAGAGTTTGGAATTCAAAGGAGAGCTAGTTAAAGACGTAGGTCAAATTATTCCTAAGTGTTTTCGGGCAACATTCTTTGAAGCGTGCCTAAGCTTCTTGTGGACTGGAATCTGGCATTGCTCGCAACAAAATGTTATCTTATCGAAATGTGCTTCACTATTTTTTCATTTGTTCATCTATTTATGCGTCAAAGCAATAGCTTTATTATGTCATAAAGTCAGGAAATCTGACCTAACAGTTCTACTGAGAATGCGAACAATTGATTCTCTGCTAAACAACAAAAGATCACTAATTTCCTGAGAGTAACGTTTCAAGTGACAATTCTGTATGCTTTGATACCTTTCCTGACATAAATTGACAACAGCATCTAATTTAAAAGAATTTCCATTCGTTCCAGGCTGCCCATCAGATCAAATGTTTGTATGAGCTTTTCCTTGCAGTTGATGCCACCCAGGTTGAGATCAATCCATTTGCCGAAACTGATGACGGGCTTGGTAAGCTTTTCATTTACACTTTCTTTTAGATTTGACCTTTTTGAAGATTTAATGGTCTCATTTCTTTTTTTTCAACAGTCTACTGTGTCGATGCGAAGATAAACTTCGACGATAGCGCGGCGTTCAGACAACAGGAAATTTTTGCACTGGGAGAGAAATCGGAACAGGTACCTTGGCTCTTGGCATTTGTCATTGACTTTGGAAGATATCTGAGTTTTTTTTGCAAGCTGTGAGATAGCAGTTGGTTTTCGTTGCTATTCGATGCCGAAATCGAAGTTTCAGGATCCTAGAGAAGTGGAAGCGGATAAGTACCATCTCAACTACATTGCCATGGATGGAAACATTGCCTGCTTAGGTATATATTTTGTCGTACTTTTCCTAGGATTCCTTTGCCCGAGAGATGTTTCATGTGAGGGCTATGTGCCTCGCGGATTTCCTCTATTTCAAACTTTAACCGGAATAGCCTCTTCTCAAAGGTGGATTTCCAGTAAATGGTGCTGGTCTAGCAATGGCAACTATGGATATTATCAAATTGAAAGGAGGAGATCCAGCAAATTTCCTAGATGTGGGAGGCACTGTTACGGAAGAACAAGTGTCTCACGCTTTCCGTATAATTACCAGTGATCCACGTGTGAGTTCATGTATTATGTCTATGTAGTTAGTCTTTTTAGACACTCTTGGAAACATCCCAGTGTTTTTCGGGAGCAGCGAGGTTTTCATTGAAGTACCTAAATTTGATAGTTTTTGGGTTCTTTCGGGTTTGCTTCATCTTGCCATCTGCTGGTTTTATTGCATTATGGGCGCAGTCATATTCCTTCAACTCGCCTGTATGTTGTGAGCGATTATCTAGCGCTACAGCCGTTTTCAAATCTTTGGTGCTCCGTGCTCAGAATGTTTGATGGCGCATGAAATCATATTGCAGGTGAAATGTATTTTGGTGAACATTTTTGGAGGAATTGTCAACTGTGGTACCATCGCTAACGGATTAGTAGCAGCATGTCGCAAGATGAAACTGCGCGTTCCACTTGTGGTTCGATTAGAAGGTGAGTTCGATACACGAGATTGTAGTCACATTCCAAAATTCATTCATCAAACAATTTCCGTCTTATTTCGCTTATTTTGCGCTAGAGTTGTGCCATTGCGAGTAGTTAATTGGGCAACAAGAATCGATTTTAGAATCAACATTCACGTAATAAGCAGGCATCGGTCCCATTTCAATCGGTCTCTAAATTCTTATTTGAACCTATGCAGTTTTACACCCTAGCATTGTACATGGTTGATGGGTTTAGCCATCAGAATTCATTTTTTCTCTGAGTATAGCCCTTTTACGAATGTGGCTTAAACGAAAAAGGGTCAAACGTGCTGCGAGACCTTGTTACGAACTTTTCTTCTACATAACAGATTTTGACGTAGGTGGTGTAGTGACAAGTGGAGCACTTCACACATGCATGGTCACGGGTTTGATTCCCGAGTAGATATCTTCCAGGCAAACCAAGCACTACGCTCGTCGGGAGGGTAAAAGCACTGACTTGTACATTGCTGGCCACCGCATGTCATTATTTAGGACACATACACATGCATTAAACCGCTACGATTTTAATGAGAGCCGAATGCATGGCGCATCCCTCAGACGCTATTGATTAACTCCAGAACACTTGATCCCTTATCCTCCACAGCAAATTTCGAGCTGTTTAGTGAACTTGATGCATTGATTACTTATCACATATTGAAACCAGTTCAAATGCATGAACGTGACCGTTTTCTCTACTTCTTGTGGGTGTGCTGGAATTCAGTTCCTAGCTTATCCTAGCTTCAAATAGCGAGTTTGAACTCCATTGCCTTAGTAAGTTACTCATTTCTAAGGTGGACCAATCTAGGGGAAAGGTACCTTCACACAGTTTGACGTTTTGTAGCCATAAGCGCTTGCATCAGTAAGGAATTTTTGAGATCTTGCCATGGTGACCCTCTTCATCACTCTTCTGTTTCTTTCATGCCCATTAGTATTGTTCGCTGTTATCACTGCCTTTGCTCACCTGCTGCTTTTTCAAGATACAGCTGTCAACACCATACAGTAGTATGATGTGATAGGCTATTGCTCGCATCAGCACTGAGTAATCAATTGATAGCAGCCAAAGGTCTTGCAAGGAAGCTCCTCTGCTGTATGGTTGAGTTCGCTTTACGGGCAATGGTATACAGTACCCTCAAGACGATTAGAGACAGCACCCACATGGAAATTCCCATTCCATTAATTCCGACCCGTTTCTCCTCAATCGCTTATCACAGAACAGCTATACATTTTCATTACGACCATACCTTTTCTATGAATTCTATCAGTGTCTTCGGGCTGACACCCACATAGGCCAACTATGCTTCCCATTAATCCGGGCTGGTCAGTTGGTACCAGTCTGGAAGGACGAAAGCGCAGATTTGTATATCGGTCCATCGCAATTCATTGTTTAGGCCACAAACACACTTAAAACGACGTAACGATCCTTAATTTAAGTCGAATGCGAAGACACATCCCGAAAACGGCATGATTAGCACCAAAGGCTCTGTCCTTCATCCTTGTTCAGAGAAACTCAAGCAATCAAAAAATAAAGTTTATAATAGAAGTTTCGGCTAGTATGTACATATAACAGCAGTTTATATTGTGCTAATCATAAAATCGACCCTGTAGACCCTGCCGATTGGTAGGAATATTTTCGTGTGACAGGCTCGAACCATTCAACGACTACCTTCCGATAGGGTGTGATATAAGTAAGGGAAATGATCGGATTACATAAAGGCAGAAATGCTATCACTGTTTGCGAAAGGTGCTCGAGTATTGGATGACTGAAGAGTTGTAGTTGACCGATGGTGTACATGATGATCATGGCTATTAGAAGTAGTGGTGTGCATGATTGAAGCGTAAGTACCTGTAAATATACGGTTCCGGTATACGATATTGGCACTTGATGTTCTTGATCTCTCATGAAGCACTATACTTATTAACAATTAAAAATTAAAAATCATATAAATAAGGGGGAGAGGGAGAGGAGGGGGAAGGCTATGAATCAAGGATATAGTTCGTCTTTCGTTCGCAGGTGCCCTAGACGGATGCCTAACTTGGCAATCATCTGCGTCCGTGCCCATCAGTAGGGTAAGAGAGGGCAAAATAGTTGAATCAACATCTTTATTTGAACTGTTCAGCACATTTTACTTTGTAAGTGGGGTTCCCTGAAGAATCATGGCGCGAATAATGGGAGGCTGTTATCGGGTCAGCTCACGCAATCTTTTTTTTTTTTTTTTTT